ATATATATTATTAAATAACTTTTTGCCATCTAGCGAAGAAACATTCCATTTCCCCAAAATTCCGTAGATTTCTCGGCTGTTTAAATTAGATTTTGCAAATCTTTGAAGGTAAGAATTTGTCATTAAAAGAATTTTAATTAAGAAAATAAAACGAGCAAGGCACGACAGTTCCCATCAAACAATTCCCATCCAATAATTTTTGGCAGATTATGAAAGAAACATGAGGTCTGGTATAGTCATAAAAAAAACACGACGCTTTTTCTTCTGCCGCTTTTTATTGATCGCTTCAATTGCCAGCAATACATTTCAAAATTTGTTTTATTGTTTAACAGGAAATGGTAATAAAAAGAGAATTCTTTTTTAATCCTATGCATAGAATAATCTTTGGAGAAATTTAATGATTTAGTTTTAGACACAGTTAGCGGAGATTTATTTTGCTTGCCCCGAGATTGTTTCTACTCTATGTTTTTATCACCCGTCACACTTCTTTCCCAAAACGATCCATTTTCATTACGTTTCAGCAATAAATTGCAGATGGAAGTGAGGTCTATTAAATTTTTTCCCGATAAATCGTGCGGCACCGATACATCGATTGACACTTCCAAGCTTTTATATCCTCCGATATATTCTGATAAGTCGTTTTCCATGTCTCTGCAATTTCTGAAATCGTATAACGTGGGTTATTTTTAATCAAAAGCTTGATTTGTTTGCCATCAGTTATTAAACGCGCAAATTTTATTGTCAAGCCAATATTCTATTCCGAATCCTGTATTTCGCTTACTTTTCCGCGTAAAACTATATTAGAAAATTACATTTGATACTTTTTATCTGATTATAAACTTTTAAAAGTAAATGAGAGTCTGCGTGAGAGTAAATTCAGAATTAATTTGATTCATTTTGTCTTAGTTTCAACACTTTGATGAAAGCTACCAACAACTCGCCTAATCGTACTGAAGTGGCTACGTTCGTAGCGAAAAACTTTGCCGTGCAGGATGAACTGGATAATGCGACATTGCCAGATTGGAAGGAAAATCCCAACATTCTAAACTCCATTCAGGATCCTCAGTTTCGCGAGTGGGCAAAAAATTTAAATGATTTTTGGAAAACTCTAGCGAGAAAGATAAATAAAGACTTGATAATCAATCCGCAACGGCACAGCTTGATTTATGTGAATAATACGTTTATCATTCCCGGAGGCCGATTTAAGGGTGAACGCAAAATTCTTCTTTAAATTTAATTTTAATTTTTAGTTTAATTTTAATTTTAGTTTAATTATAAAATTTATATTAATTTAATTCAATTAGTTAATTTTTTATTTTTTATTTAAATTTTTTAATTTTATAGAAACCAACATGATCTCTTACGTAATTATTTTATCCATCAAATATTTTAATTTATTTTTAATGAAATAAGTTAGTTGATCTCGATTCACATATTCTTAAAAATTTCTATTGCTTATCGCATAACAAATGAATACAATAGTTTTTTAACGGTCTTGTGCAAATTGCATGTATAAGAATTAAGCACACTTCATAAACTTTAAAAGCAGTTATGGTCTTCAAAACTACCGACTTGATAGCGGCAATGTTAACATTCTTGCAACTGCACGTATTTTTATGTGTTTGCGTTGCCAGCGAGAAGTCGTTAACGGACTGCTGCTTTTATGTGTTTGTACCGCCACGAGTCAAGATAATAATCTTTATGATAATTTTGCGTGTAAACTTTCCCTTTGAATGTTGGAATGAACCCCGAAGAAACTAATACGGAAACGGTGTAACTTTTATTTGTCAGGGTTCATTACAATAATAAATTACGAGTTTCGATCTCTTCAGGGATGATTTATTAAGGCCATAACTTTATTCTTTTTATTATATTTGCTCAAAATTTACTTATAATTATCTGAATTATCATGGTTTGTCAATAGTATCAATTTTATTCTGTTGTGATAGCGTAATGAGTATTTATTCGTAGTAATTTTTATTATACCTTTGTCAATCATTTGAATTAAAATAACACGTATATGCCGGTATCCTTGAAGAGGTTAATTTGTTTTCTTATTATATCGATCGCTTATCTGGGCTCTAAAATATTGTTTTTTTTTTTAGTTAATTATTATGCATATTAGATAATGTGCAACAGATAATATTAATATGCATGTTATGGATAATACGTAATAAAATCCAATGCAATATTGTAATATGCGTAATAAAAGAAAAAAGATTCATAAAATAAAGGATTAAATTTTGTGCTACAGAATTATATTACTGGGACAGCTATTGGATAATCGAAGGACTGTTAGTTTGCGAGATGCGAAGCACCGCTAAGGGAATGATCGAAAATTTGCTCTCTATGGTAGAGAGATACGGCTTCGTTCCGAATGGCGGCAGAGTTTATTACCTTTCGCGAAGCCAACCACCCATGCTACTGTCGATGGTACGTACATTCGATAGTAAACGACGCTTATTTCCGTTTTGATCTTAATCGTGCGATTTAATCTTTTGGATTTCGCACATAGAAATCCTGGCAATAAATTTTTTTCGAATTTTTGTCGAAAAAATTCCTCGAAAGATTTGTAGCTTGCTTTATCTTAGCGCAAACGTTTTTTCAGGTTGCAACATATTACGAGTTTACGAAAGATCGTGAATTTCTAGAAAAAGAATATAGCCACTCTCGAATCGGAATTCAAATATTGGCATAACAAAAAGACGATGAACGTAACGAAAAATGGTAAGACCTACAAGTTGGCACGTTATGTAACAAATAGCCAAGGGCCGCGACCAGAAAGCTACAAGTAAGTTTCTTTCAGAAAAGATGTAACAGCAGGAGTTTTTTATTTGGAACACTTTGTACTCTGCGCGGATGAATAAATTGAACATTTCATTCCAACTTAATAATAAAATGAATAATTTTTAGTCTTGAAAAGTGAAGAAAACATTGGATTTTATTACAATACATTGAAATATATATATCAAGGAATAATAAAATTTTATATTTTATAATACAAGTATGCTCAGATGTCGGGCATTGTTTGACATCCGAGCTGCTGGAATGAAATGGTATGCCGAGCATAGCTCGACTTTTGAGTTATAAAATTAAAAGAAAAATACAACTTATATATTTCAACATACTTCTATAATATCAAATTAATTATTACGTTAATTATTACGTTTAAAATTTTTTATATATTAAAAAATCATTAAAAATTCTAAAATTCTCAAAGAAATAAATCACGTTTTTTTGACAGATATATTTTACGGAATAATCAGTTTGAAATTAATTACATTGTAAGATTTTTCATAAGCTTTTTATGTAACAAGAATATAAGAGAACAGACATATTATTTTTATAATCTTAGGTAGAAAAAACTTATTTATTTTTGACTTGTTAAATCGGAAATTTTCGAATATTTATCTAAATATGTGATGGTTATCTCTGCACGTGCGTTAATGGCACACGAAAGTTACATCAAGATTAGTTAATCGACTTTGCTCACCAAATAGTTCACAAATTATTAAACTGCTCCGTCTCATCCATCAATCCCGAGATATGACCCAATAACATTTGAACCATCATCTGTCTAATATTTAAGATGGATTATATTTGATGTTGATATTTTTAATATAATTTCACAAAATAATTTTATCTACATAACTGTAAAAAATTTATTTATTTATACAACTCTAAAATAATTAGTAACTGAAATGACGAATTTATTTATGTATCTCTGCAAAATTTATGGTCAAAAAAGATGATTATTATATATTAAATTATATTTACTTGTTTTCTTCGATTTTTTGACAAAAAGATATCTGGAATGTGTAACAAGACCTGATGATAGTTTATCATCATTTGTCTCGTAAAGTATCCATTACGACACTTATATCGATCGTCAGAAGTCCTCCATCATATTAATTATAAAGGACTAACGAGCATATACTTGTTTTCACAGAGAGGATTATCAATTGGCGCAACAATTGCCGAATCAGGAGCAAGGAGCTCTTTATAATGACTTAAAAGCCGCGGCAGAGAGCGGCTGGGACTTCTCTTATAGATGGTGTATACGAACTAATAATGATGCAAATCTCAGTCTCGTTAACGCCTCTACGAGTAACATCATACCCGTCGATTTGAATGCAATAATTCAGCGAAATGCTAAATTACTTGCTCGTTTCTACGGCATCCTGGCGAATACGAAGGTGAACCTTTGCTAAGCTATTCTGTTTGAATTATTGCAATTATTGCACGTAGTAAGCGCATTGCCGACGCTATATTGACGCTATATTTATATTATGCGCTACATATATATTATTATATATATTTATATATTTATAATAATATAAATATATAAATATATAATAATATAATAAGTAAAATAATATACAATAGCATGATCAAAATAAAGATGATCAAAACGTTTCTAAACAACTGACATATTCAATAATTAATTAATTGATTAATCCTGTATATTTATAATTAATTTATGATTAATTCTGAATAATAAACATTCTAAAAAGCAGCAGATACACAAATTATTCATAAATGTTAATTTTAATATCCACAGAATATTCACTGCTTTTTGATGATCTTTTTATACTTTATTTCGGTTTTACGCTGTGCAAAATTATCTTTATGTGAATAAAATACTCTCACTATTACAATTAATGGAAAGAGAAATTAATTATGTGTGTACACGCATACATTTGAAATTTTTATAATTACTGGAGTATAAATGAGACAGCTTTACTTTCGTTAAATGTGTAAAGGTGTGGCGCATAATATTATCACCATCATTATATTATTATCTTGTCTCAAATCCTGCTCATTATCGGTTACACGAATGTCATCCGACGTAACATCCGCCCCTGTCATTAGTATCTTCTACTTTTCTCATTACAGAAAGTTCGATATTACACGAAAATTGCTCAGGAGTATCAAACTGCCATCGACAATATTCTGTGGAACAAGGATGAGGGAATCTGGTTGGATTATGACACGAAAAATAAGCAATCCAGAAATAAATTTTATCCAACAAATTTGACACCATTGTACACATTTAGCTACGATCCAATTAAAAAAATTGGTTACGCACAAAAAGCTGTTTCTTATCTGAAAAAAAATAAAATTGACACATTCTACGGTAAGTGCACACTAATTATGAATTTTTTAAGCTAAACGTTTATCTTCAGCGTTCTCGCTAATTATTTGCATTTGTGGTAAGATTTTTTTCCTTTTTTTTTTTTTAATATAAAATATTCCAAAAAACATTTTTGCTTTTTTGAATAAAACTTTAAAATTGTCGATTTAACTTTTTTAACATCCATTTTTCTCAATTACAAATATTTTGAATGAAAAGTTGCCTTCTAGACTTCTCTTTTGATAAAATAATGGTTTTTCTCTGAGAAATTTGCTATTCTTTGTTTGTAATCTAATTGACAATTTTCGCAGTCAAATTGCTTAAAAATTTCTAAACATTAAAAATTCAAACTACATTGATTATTCTATTTTTTCTAAATACTTTTGATATCTTTCAAGCGATTAAAATAAATAGACCAAAAGTAAAAAAGAATCAAGTGTTCGACGGCGATCGATAGCGCTCAGTGAACGCGGTGGGATGAGATATACGAGTCGTTCCAACTTCCGTCTTTCCGCTTCCGTTGCGATACGTTCCACCCTCGATCGTTTATCTTCCATTTTCTTTTCCAAACTTTTCGCCAAAGCTAGTCGCGAATTTCTTCGCCAGTCATTCTGAAATCTAGTCATCAAGTAAACAGTGATTGTGCCAATTAACCCCTTTCATAGAAACTGACGGGCACTACATATTCACTGAGCATATTAAACCGCCGAGTACATCCCAACACTCTGTGTAGTATACAAACGGGGTCAAGAGAATCTTAACAATGCTACAAACAGGTTGTTCGAGCGAATCGAAATTACAAAATCGTTCCAATCATCAAAAATAATTAAACCGAACTATTTAGTAACAATTTAACGTCCATTTACGTGACTTCAAAGCGCACGACTTAATGGCCATAGAATCTAATATAATTGTTAATTCCGCACAAAATTACGATTCTATGCAGCAAACTATGCTAAATTAGCTTTAGTCTCCCTTTGCGCTCTCTTCCAGATGCAGAAAGTTTAGCGATTATGTTTTCTTACCGTTATGCTTAGAATACAGATAAAATCTTCCGACGGATGTAAACTCTTTTATAATGGAGTCTAAACAACCACAGCGTGGTTTTGTTATCTACAAATAATGCTCTGTACACAATTATAAGAGTCCACGAGAATAACTTCACCGAGTCGCATTTGCGAGTGAAGCGTCATTATTCGTAATAATGGCACAACGGAGAAGACGTATGCGAGTGAGATTTCCCGATCAGCTAGGCAGTGAAATCTCACGATTTATCGGATCGTTCGTATCGCACGCACACCAAGAAAATAGGACGGTCGCTAGAAAATACTCTCGATTGCGGCTGCCATCGACAGTGACTCGTGGAAATTCTAGCAAAATGAGTTTTTGCTAATAAATGCCGTTATTATTCTCTTTCTCCGCGTGAGCACCTTGCTGCTTGCCAATATTGATTTAGAAAATATCGCGGATTATTTTAAATAATATTTTGGCTCCAAAAAGCGGTTCCAGTTTTTAGGTCTCACACCGGAAAACTCGGAATCAGTTGTTGGAATGTGCCCCGGGGAATTTTCGAACCAATGGGACTGTTTTGCTGTGAAATAATAAAAATGGCATTTTTTACAAGAATGTGAATTGCAAATTTTACAACGAGAAGTTATTAAATTGATAAGAGCTATTTTTATGAGGAATTTTTATTGCGCCAGAGATCATAAAAAAGCATAATTAATTATAGTTTTAAATTTAATTATAGTTTTAAAATAAAATTTTCACTAGTAATGTTGAGATTAAAAAGAGATTGACGCGGGTCAATTAAACTTTTATTAAAAAAAAATTGACATCGCATTGATCAAAGGTGCCCTGAGAGGCATCATAGATGAAAGAAGTTACGATAAATTGGAACTCTGTGATATGTTTGGTATGATTGATTTGTTAGTGGATACGTTAATACCAGATGATATTTCGGATTAATTTTATCCATCCAACGGATTAAAATGCAACCTGTTTTAATCGGAGAAATATATTAAACGATTAATAACGTAAAAAATACTAATTTATATATTTCGCAATATACTATTAATCATGATACGGCGACTATACACATAATCCTCTTAAATGGAGACTCTTCTCTTTTTTGCAAATCTGTTGCTAAGCCGATTATGCAGTTCTACGAGTGCTTTGAACGTATCGAGTGCACTCCGCTTTATCAATACGCTTATAAGTTTTTATAATGATTAATGCTTGGTTTCTGATGAACTAACAACTCATAAACAAAAATATATACGTAGAATTATAATTGCATTCGATTATAATATTGTCGACTATATTGTATAATATTACACATATATAATATACATTACACACACACACACACACACACGCACACACACACACAATTTTGTTTTTCTTTGACATAACATAAAGTAAGTCACTAAATGCTTAATGAAGAGACCCGAGAAAAAGTGAGACGTTCTTTTGCTCGACAAAAAGAGACAGGCGGCACGCGAATACTCTGCGCGCACGAGTTTCTACTACGTTTCTATCTGCAGACTTCTTTTCAACTTCTCCTAACTTGTTTATTTTTAACTTAATATTTTATATATTATTACATATTCAAAACGGTTAAAAAAATAGAATTAGAAAAATTAATCTTCTTAATTTTTTACAGATGAAAAATTGACATTTTCTAATTGCCTTTGCTTGCCAACTCTAATTTTCCGATTCGATTGTCTCAAATCAAAGAGTAAAACTAAGCTTCGTTAGGAACAGAACTATATATAACGATCTGCTTGCTTTGTGACAGGTGGTACGCCAAGTTCTGTAAACTATACAGGCGAGCAATGGGACTTTCCTAACGCGTGGCCGCCGTTGCAGTCCTTCCTCATTGTGGGTCTCCGCAACACCAAAGTAAAAGAAGCGGTGGAATTCGCCACGGAATTGGCTGGCAGATGGCTTAGGTCGAATTATATCGGTTATGAAGAGTACGGTACGATGTTCGAGAAAGTAAGTCTATCTTTTTTTTGTTAGGTTGACTTTATTCATTCACGAACAGCTCTATTGATCAGAAAAGTGACACGACTACAGGGAGACACTTTTTTGCTGAAAGGTCGTGATAAATGTTCTTCACATAACGTGTCAGAATCACAGGGAGAGAGAATCTGCCATTAAATATTATATTACATCACGTTAATGCTACCTAAATTAGACAAAGAAAATAATTTGCATGACGGTAAAGTGCAACGCATATACTTTTATATTTTGCGCATAATTTTAGCTAAAAAATTTTTTTATTTTAATATTTATTTTATTTATTTAATATTTATTTCACTTCAATACAGTCTATTGAATATTAGCGTTCAAGCATCGACTTGACAAAGAGTACTTAACGTATGAAGTTATTTAATACTACTAGAGTAAACATTTTTGTGCTCGCAACGACCGCGTCGGTATCTTCTCGTATTCCTGCTTGATACGGAAACTCGATAAGATATGTATTTCGGTGGAGGCGCTCGGATTTCCAGAGATATGAGGGAAGAGATAGTCGCTTGAACGCGGCTAATGCGCAAGGGGGCGATCTCCCTCAGCTCCCACCGTCACTCCGCGTACCGGCCTGCTCTACTGGGAGAAAGGAATAAGAATGGGGATGGAAAGCCTCCATTGGGAAATACGTTCGTTGTGAGACTCTAATCCGTCTTGTTTTGTTTTGTCCTCCTTCTTTCAGCGAAGTAACTTCGTGTACGAATGTCGCACGCGATTAAGAATGTCGTAAAAAGACTGATGAAAGTTTAAAAGACAAATTTTATACATTACTGATCTCGGAAGAAAAGTATGTCGACGGCTCATACATATTGAGCAGGAAATATTGATTATTCTACTAGTCAATATTTCATCCGAAATAACAGACAAACTTTCACTTCTAAAAATTATTTTCACATTTTTATGTAAACGTTTATTTTTTATGAAAATCTTTCAAATAACAAGTACTCATAATAATAAAGAAAAACTCTCCTGTCGATTATATCAAATCACTGACACTCAACTTTAAATCGTGATAAATTATCATGTTCTTTATAACTTTTTATGCTAAAACTTGTACACTGATTTATCGAATCACCGTAAAAAATTATTATAACATTATAACGTTGAAAAATATTATTTCTCTGAAAAGTTTAACAATACTATCGAAATTTAAATTGACATATAAAATAAAATTTTACAATATAAATATATTATTTGGAAAATCACGTTACTCTTTGCGATGTTTTTGCCAATATTTTTTAATCGATTCTTTTTGTATTTTAATTTATTAAAAAAACGATACGTCTGGTAATTACATCAATAATTCAATTCAATTCAATTTAATTCGAAGCTATTTCAACGGCCAAATTTACTTCATAGCAATTATAATCGAGAATTGCGTGTGAAATTCATGGTACGCCTTGATACTTTGTAATCACATTGTGTTGATGCCGGAGTATCAGTAACGAGTTTTTACGGGGAATAGCCGGTCCATCTTACAGAGCAAACACGCTCGAACAATTCAATCAAGGTTTCTTTTGCCCGCCTCGTTTTGCAGGCGAGAAAAGGTATCCTTTCTCGAGAGAGGAAATTTTGTGTTGGCGCAAATTGAAATTATATTCCCATCTAAAATAATTTGTCATTTATCTCTGTCACTACGCGATCATTATAATAAAGCCTAAAAAAACAGCATTTATTTTAGAACTCTAAGGAACAACGCTAACATCACTCATAATGTTTAGTATATAATTAATGACATTTGAAAACAAGTCTCTCTCGAATCGATTATCACAGCAATATTGAATTCACGTCACAGAACCGAGGAATCATAACTGTTTCTGCAATGTTATAAATGGACTTGTGTAGTTCATAAATAAACGCACAATAAATTGAACTTTCCGCATGCTACTTTCATTTGATAGATTGAGCTTGCAGAGCGTAACGTGAGCTGTCGTTGGTTACGGAATGAATAAATAATTGTAACATTTTAATGAAGCACATGATAGAATTCGCTTTCACATTAGAGAGATGATTAGATCGTACGTCCATTTACTAATGAAGGCAAGATGAAACTTGCGACACGCTTTTCAAACTTACTCTATCGAACGCACGAGTAGCGGGGTGTAAAAAAAATTCACTTATTCAGAAGTGCTACAGAAAGAAATTACGTCTGTTTTCTTTCTTCTCTTTAACGTTGTAATCTAATACAGCTGCAGTGACTGGATTGAAATATAAATGCCGTGTCTTAAAGCATTATGTTTTTTATTTGAATAAACGAAAGCAATTTATTTCAGTTAATTTCTGGGCTGTTATGAGAACAATCACATTTATAAATGTACAAGGTACAAATTGCAAATACCGGCTTGCAGCAAATTAAAAAGAAGACACGGGATTTTAATGGACATAGAAAGACAAAACTTGTCAAATGTTGAGAATTAAAAAGTTATATGAAAAAATAATGCTATTCGGCCAATTTGTAGATACGAAGTTAATTTCCAAATTTATTGAAGAATCTGCAAGGATAACGCTTGAAACACGCTATACATTTAGTTATCTTGGTTTCTCACAATGTGCTATTTTTCAACTTTTTCCTTTTACGATATGCTTTGTTATATATATGTTTGCTATACTTTGTTCACCTGTAAACGTGTATACCTCAAGTCACGAGGAATCGATTTTACGAGTCGTTTTTTTTTTTATGCTAGACAACTATTTGTAGCCAAGGACATGAAAAATTGCAGAAACAAATGACGTACGTTGTATTTTCAATCAATGGAATCAATCTTTTCTCATAGCAAAAGTTACTTCGCACTTTTACAATTTGATATAATTATTTTTGCTCATTTCATTATTCGCGTTTAATAGAAACAATTATTTCTTTATCGTAACGTAATGCTAAAACAATTAAAAATTAATTGATGCATATTCCATACTATGAAAACATACAGCAACGAGAAAACGCATGCACTAACGCACGATTATTTCTGTAACTCAAAAAGTTTGTTGCATCAACACAAATTTACATCTGAATTTGCATCTGAATTTAAATTTACGTGAATGCATAAACATTGTGTGTGCATGTGCATTATGTGTTTCTCATGCAGTGTAATTATTTGTTTATTACTTATTCATTGCTAATAAAAAGCTAATAAAAAGTAATTAAAACATATATTTTCTAACATAAACTAATTACAAAACATTATATTAATGTTCCCATTATTTTTTGACTAAAATTCATCGACCATCTAATTCCACTCTTAAATGTAATAAATGTGATTCATTAATATTTTGTCTCGTGAAAGAAGTTATCAGAAAACTTGCGCTTACAAGAAATAAAAAGTTATTGTTAATAGATTATTTTCTTTCATAGATATATTAGGACAATATAAATATATTAAAATAATTTAAATATAAAAATATGTTACACATAAATAAAAATGTTTATTCAGCAGTTATGTAAAATCACGTGGGAAATGAACGAGGAAAGACCTTGCTTTTGATATAAGCTCTTCGCTAATAATTTGTCACTGCCTTCCTTTTCCGACTCTGACGAATATTATTTTTATTTTTCTCTCTTTTTCAAGATGTCTAAATGAAACGTGTCTGTCTCAAATCCTAAGGATTCACTCTTTTAAACTTATCATTGCTCGAGTTTATTCAGGATTTTTTTCTATAGAGGTGAAGTAATGTGACATCGATGTTTGAGAAATATTCTTGAAGATATGGGAATCGTTCGATAAACAACGTACGAAAAAAAGTTATTTCCATAGCAGTCACACAAAAACATTTATTCTAAAAATATGAAAAAAGTATTGCAATAACTTTTCATAGTTATTACGTAGTTCCCACTAAAATATATATAGAAGCAAAATATTAAATTTTATATATATGTAATAATTTTTTATAGCGCAAGTTTCTAATATAACTTTTTTTACGAGACAAAATATTAACCATTTGTTTATCGCGTTTATCATTTATTTATTTATTTACGAATGGGATCATATGGGTTAATAAATTTCGGTAAAAATAAAAATAAAAACTAATTTGTGCCAAACAACATAAACACAAACTTATGTCGGACTTATAAAAGAAATACCAGCCTCAATGAGAACAAACGGAGGTATACGGTAACCTAATTCAACCCAACGCTCCCTTGAGTAGATGTCGAGGCGATCACCTCGTCACCTTAATATACCTGACTTGTAAAATTTTTAATTACGAATATCAGTAATACCCTTGTGATTAACTGTGGCGACGACTGTGAGAAATGTACACCGTTATTTATTCATTTGCATTTATTTCGTCTCTCGCTATCTTTAGATAACCTTTAAAAAGCTGCCTTTATTCTGGATAAGAAATTTTTAAATAGCTTCATTCAACATCAAAAAAAACACTAAACTAACTTTAAATATTATAATGCTCTTGAGAAATTATATTTAGAAGAAAATAAAATGTGAGAAATATAGCGCCAAGTAAATAAATCTTAGAAATTTCAAAAACAAAATTGCGTGGCTTTGCCAGACGCGATTGCGACACACGAATATATATATAATTAATAAATTTATTTTTTCGTGTTTCTTGCATTTACCGCTAAGCAGCCGCGCGTCAATATTTATATTTGCAAATAAAATTTTGTAAGCAAAGTATATTAAAGTGACGAGGTGATTACCTCGACATCCACTCGCTAATATGTTTGATAGAGTTTTGAATGAATGTTGAGTTGCGTTAAGTTAAATTGCGTTGAATTATGTTTAATAACTTTCAGTTCTTGTCGACTCGAGTTATTGACTTACATGTTTTAGTTAGTTCACATATTGTTTAATATAGACCAATTTTCACCATATGATCTTCTCGCGAATACAATGCACGATCTGATATTATATTTTTATAAAAAAATAAATTATCTCTTTGCAACTTTTGCGGTAAAAAATTATTCTATATTACAGAATTTTTTTTCCATTATCGTGCTTTAATATTGAAAAAGTTATATCAAGTAAATTGAATAAAATACGTTATGTATTTTATTAGAGCTGGTTATTTGTTTGGCTTCGCAGTTTGTGCTCTTGTGGAAGCTGACGTTTTATTATCTCCCATGCTTTATATTATATTATGTTGTGCATGTTTTATTTATTAGTTATCGGTTATAATCATAAAGTTTTTTTTGCGTTACACGCGGTCTGCTACTATATTTGTTTTACAAAAAAAAATAACAATATTGAAAACTTGCGTTGATGAAACGAGAAAATTCAGGGAATAATGAAGAACGCGCATTTTGTCCTCTATCCGTCCGATTTATATCGTATCACTTTCTGATGGAAAATTGTTATAACAATGTCAACCATGCGCCTTTCATCCGAGTCGACGCGATGATTTATCATCAATATGACGTTAATGAAAATAAATACATTGATACACTTCCATTCGCGTCACTGCGATCGATGGGATTTCGTTCAGACTACCAAAATCTGTCACAACTAATTCTCAAATAACAAACATCTCAGAGCGAAATGCACTTGAAACTAAATTGCAAATATTTTTTTATCTGTACTGTATCAATTTTACAACAAATCTATGTTTCTTTAATCGCTCATAACTAAACAGCATCGCTTCGATCTTTTTTTTTCAAAAAAGATAAAATTTTCTTTTATAAAAGAATAATTCTTAAAAAATTATAAATTTGTAAGATATTTTATATGATAAATGAATTATATATTGTATTTTAACGTATATATATATATTTATATTTTAAAGAAGAGAAAAGAAAAACGCGTAAGAACTTCGGAAGGAGGAACGCACGGAAGGATGTTTTGTGTAATCCCCACGAGAAAATAATAGAATGCGGTACTCTCAGCGCTCGAGTTAAAATATAGGCCGTCGTTTAACTGACTAACGGAAGTTTGCCCAAGTTCTCTCTATCGGGCGAAATTAGATTTCCTCGGAGGATATAAGCATTCTGCGTGAAAATTAACTCGCTAGCAATGTGGGAGAAAACCGCGCGACGATCGTCTAGAGCACCGTCTTGATTACTTTTGAGAGACGCAACGGACGATTTGTTTTGCGAATCAAGAACGCATGATTACTCGGGGTAATGAGTCTTTTAATTTCAGTACAACGCGATACACCCTGGTGAGAGGGGCGGTGGTGGCGAATACAATGTGCAGGAAGGCTTCGGATGGACGAATGGCATTGTCTTCCGGCTTCTCAGTATGTTCCCCGATGCAAAGTCTTTGGAGACTGTCGAGTACGATGGCGGTAATGGTATCAATAGATAATGCACATGGACAGATAAGTAGCTAATTGATCGTAGGAATAAACGTCAATGTACTTTCTATGTACAAAAGATAAGTGAATCAAAAGAAATCAACACAGATTTGACAAATCAAATTTTAAATTATTAAAGTTACTTAAAGTTAATTAATTTGAATACGTTTCCCGCACATTATGAATATATTAGCACATTAATTCCTTTTATGACACATGTGTATTTTGCAAAATTTTAATCCGTCTCTTTTAATTATTTATCCCTCGCTGTTATTAAAGATACAATATTGATTTTAATTCCCGAACATTTGATGAAAGCTGATGTGCGGGTTTTCGGAAAACAGAAATAATCTGTAAAAACCAATTGCAAAGAGATAAAAATATTTGACAGCAAAACTTAAACTTGTTGATTTGTATAAAAGCAATTATTTTACTTAAATAATTAACACACTAAGTGTTATATCGTCGAAACCTTATTCTTATACAATTTTATCAAGCATAGTTATTAAAAAATTTATCTAAAAATGTATAAAAATATATGTGGCAACGTATATAAGAGAAAATCAAAATACATGAAATACTTATTACGTATTTAACGATATAAGCGATGGATAACGATGCATTCTGCAACGAATCTAGTCCATAAGGGAAACCAGGGCAGCGTAATAATACCCATCGTATTCTCGAATTAAGTTAGCACGAGTCCGCATGCATGAGACTCGGATTCAAGCAAAAGGGTTGTAGCTAACGGAAAGAAAATATTTTTTTAGATTTTTAGCAGGACGCGGGATATATCAAATTACATAAAGCGCAGGTACATGTCAAAAACATCTACTGATACGTGATCGTAACCACTCGTGCCGTTATTGGATTAGCACAAGTTGAGAGTTCGTGCAGATCACGATACTGTTGCATTTCGAGTTATAACTGTTTCGATGTATCTCGTTTATCACATATTACGCCGATTACCTGAGAACACTTCTTCCATAAGCTACTGATACTGTTGACATTTGATATACAATATATATGAAACTGAACTCTTCAAAACTGAAAAGCTCTGAAAAATGTTTCCAATTTGCTACTCTTTCGCAATAAGTCGATATTATGTATTTTAGACTATGCACCAATGTTGTTACTGCACTTTTTACGGTGTATTGTACTGGGATTATATTACTTTTTTTTTAAAGACACATTGCTTCGCTAATTCTGTTATAAAAATAATGACTTTGTTAGTTGCACATATATTGCTACTTAATACAATTAATATATTATAATAAAGGCGTTGAGAAAGAGAATAAATAGATACGATTAATGCATGGAATGATTCTGCGTGAATATTTTTATCCTTTTATATTAAATAAGAAGACAAAATAAGATAATCAATAGTAATGAAATATATTTTATCTTTTTAAATAAAAAAATTAATGATAGAAATAATTCTAATATTCTGTATTCTTCGCATTTTTGCTTTTAAAAGTTTTTGCAGAAAAATTTACGCGCTTCTTCGTCGGCTTATACTTCGACAAATAAATTTATTTAAAACTGTAGAGTTTTTCAATCTTTTGCGGACTATGTGCGAGATATTCCCGACAATATATTTCCATCATTTCGAATGCACGTCGCGAAATATCCGACACACTCGTCGTCGACTATTTATTTGCATAGCATATCAAAGCGCCATCGTTCATTGTATGATAGTATATTATTGTATATTATTGTACGATTGAAATGTATATTTGAAATTGTTATCTTTTCCAAGGCATATTGAGTAGTCCTAGTTGACACTCGCTCTCCGAAACATTTCGTCTACAAAGGATTGCATGCGATTCATGCGACTAGTGAAACATTGAAATGTTCATAAAATAAATATTTTTAGAAAGATACTTATTTGAGAAAAATATTTTTTAAACAAATACGATTCTATTATACTTATTGGATTACTATTATAAAAATGAGTGAAATGAGTGAAATGTGTAATTTTAATATTCTAGACCGCTTGTTTATTTAAAATTTTTCACCATTGCAGCAAAAAAAATACGAATATAAAAATGTGTATATAGATAAACTCAATAATAAATTGCATCGGTTATTTGTACGTTTTTTAGCTTTAAAATATATTATTTTTATCCTAAAATTATCATGAATAATGGCATAGCGCGAATACACATGCTATTGTGCATACAGGATGTCTGAGACCACTCTTTTTGAAAAGGAAGGGAAGTGGTTTTACTGGTGGTCTCAGACACCCTGTATATGTATTTATTTCACGTTTATCTCTCAAGAATTCGTGATTACATTTATTTTAAGAGAGGAAGATTGTTAGAAAAAAAGCGTAATTGAATCTATCTTGCTCTTAATTTATGTAAGAAAATAATAGCGGAATAACGTGCTTTCATTGTCACCGCTCGATACTGCTAGCTTATTCGAGACTTATACCGTTTATGACATGGTGCTCTTATAGTTTGCAGTACTTTCATTTTACCTACCTTTAGCGTGCGTCGCTCATAAAACGCGGCGACGTCATCTTCGAGCGTTTCAGTTGATAACCGGCTCGTGGATATAATCGTGGAGTGCTATGTGAATACGTATAGATTAAAGGCAGCTACTTCAACCGGTTCCCGGCTTTACATTGCGCATTATTGAATTATTATTAACGTATTCAATTATATCATAAACGCATTATTGTGTTAATGCGCAAGAATGAGTTTACAAATGTAGTTTCTGATGCAAAATACATTAACTGCAAATATATTAAATGCAAATTACATTTTTTATCAAGTGTTATTATCTTTCGATTTAACGATTTCTTAATAATCGTGTGTTACAAGGTAAAAAATTGCAAAAAATAATCATCCAGTTGCAGTTTCTTAATTTCTTTTATGTCAAATATCTTTGAAAACGGCACTCAATGGTCTTATAGAAAACTTTATGTATCTATTGTATCGGTATGTGTATTGATTCAAAATTATATATCTTTAATTAATTTAATTTTATTATATTTTAAATTTTCAGTATACATTTTTATTGTAGAAATATATATTTTATTGTAGAAATATATATTTATTACATTCATATCGCATTTATTTATATATATATATATATATATATACAGTAACGGACATCAATTTAAGCTATTTTTATCATTTTTTTTAAATAAATTTAATAGCATTATATACTTATGTAAGAAATATTAGTAAATAATATGATATTTAATGTAATATTTATAGTTTTTATTTTCTATTTAGAATGAATAAAATAACTGATATAGATACATTGGCGAATATATCAGTCATTTTATTGATTCTAAATGGATCATATTCTTGAATTTTTTACCTCTACTATATATACATATATGTAAATTGGATACATTATAAATAACACTGACATTTCTATTTTTGTGACATGACAAAATGGATATTTGCATTTTAGTGCATAAATCCTTGAATCACTCGTTTTCCTTGTAGTAAAGTGCAATGCACTCATCGCCGTTCGATAAAATGACTCATATAGATACATTGGCGAATATATCAGTCATTTTATTGATTCTAAATGGATCATATTCTTGAATTTTTTACCTCTACTGTATATACATATATGTAAATTGGATACGTTATAAATAACACTGACATTTATATTTTTGTGACATGACAAAATGGATATTTGCATTTTTGTGCGTAAATCCTTGAATCGCTCGTTTTCCTTGTAGTAAAGTGCAATGCACTCATCGCCGTTCGATAAAATGACTCATATAGATACATTGGCGAATATATCAGTCATTTTATTGATTCTAAATAGATCATATTCTTGAATTTTTTACCACCACTGTATATACATATATGTAAATTGGATACATTATAAATAACACTGACATTTATATTTTTGTGACATGACAAAATGGATATTTGCATTTTTGTGCGTAAATCCTTGAATCGCTCGTTTTCCTTGTAGTAAAGTGCAATGCACTCATCGCCGTTCGATAAAATCTCGAACGTAATATTCAACGATATGTAAAACGGATGCTTCGGTCAGCTGTAATCGCGCGGAAAATCGAAGGCTGCCACGGGCAGCTTTTCCGGTGCGGCCGGTAAGGTATTTCGCGTAAACGACAGTTTAATCCCCTTTCGAGAGGACGACACTATTATCTATTTTTCCGTAACATTTATCGCGACTGCCACGTCACCGCCGTACTGAAGCATCTGGAATCATCTCACGGATTAAACCTACGTGAAATTTAATAAGTTCCTCTCGGAGGATTAGCCTGTTTTCTCTTTTTTACACAGGATGCCCATTAACGCGGAAATATGCTCTTAATTCCCTTACTTCTGCTTCAGTGCTGCGGACGTTAAAGAAAATGGGAAGATGGATTATACGGAAAAATCACACCCCGATTACTCATCAGAATATTATTTATAAAGTCTAGTATTATAGCACTTTGATAAAATAATCCCTTGGCGAGATAATCCTTTCCAAGTTGAGGGAGTTTACGGTTGCTTCATCATTTCTTCCATTTCTCACCGTTGTCGTAACCTAACTTGTATAAATCCTTCAAAACGATGTTGAACGTTACAGTAATGACTCCCTCGACCCTCATGCGAGTAACTGTAACAATTGCGAGTGACAAAACAGATTAATTTAAAGAAAGCAATAGTTTGATGAAAGTATCTTCCGGCAAAAGAATCTCCCATGTGTGCAAGAGTTTCGAAAGTTAGTGAACTTTAAAAATGTTAGTGTTGCAAAACTATTAACGTCACACAAACTTTTCTGAAATGTGAAAATCCTATAGTAGTTCGTAAAGCTTTTCACATACACCTCGCATTACTGTCCGACGATAAAAAGAGAAATTGCGTTTATAAAAAATTAATTAAAAAAGAATGTATTGCTTTTAATTAATATTTTATATTAAATACAATGTTTCAAATTAATTATTTTTTAGTATTAATTTTTCTGGCAAGGCAAACAACTTGCTTTGTTTGTTTGAATTAAAATTGTTGGAAATCCTGAGATACAAATAATACACATATAGAACTAAGTTAATTAAATTGTGGATGCCATTGATTGTTACTCTATTACAGTTTCTATTAGATGTAATTAATTTAACGCCAGTAACACTAACGAGAAACGTCTCGGTGCATTTCCTTACGTTCTCTGCCGCCGCCGGATGCCAGTATGGCGGGATCAATTAATTCCGGTCTCCTGCCAGTTAACCACTCCACGAAATGCTGCAGCATGGACGATGACTCCGGTACATAGATCGATACCCTGAGATTTTGAGATTTTCGTAAAGCACGTCCAAAGCGGTATGATTAAAATTTAATACGCCATTTCGAAGGGAATGATATTCAAAGTGATGAGAGTAACATGAATGTAGAATTATGACCAAATATCAATCTTCAATAACGTTAGGAGTCGCTCATTCGCAAAAGTAAGAATAAAAAATGAATCAAATAAAATAAAATAAAGTACGTATAGGAATCCGTATTGCGCATATCATGCATATCTCATTGTTTTTATTAAGTTTGTTGAAAACTATGTCGGATATTTCTCAACAAAATTAAACACTACTTTCGGATTCATTGGTTTCCAGTTTAATGTAAATTTTTGAAAGCAGCATATTAAACTTTTTTAATGAGAATAAATGATAACGAGAAAAACAGAAGAAGTAATTACTACTTGTTAATTGATGAAGAAGAAATGTAATCGAGATCGAAAAGTTTTAGAGACAAATTTTTCATGTATACTTAATGTAAGAAAATTTGAATCCAAAGTCTTTCTCGCCTTTAAATTTTTATGACATATTTCTGTATGTTATTTCTCCCAATTTATTTTACTTGTTATAAAGAAATTAACTATAATATTAAAATAAACGTTGTTAAAATTGTATAATACTTTTGTTTAACATACGCAAGATAAAATTTTATTCTCAAGAATGTATTTTCTGAAAATTAAATATTTTTAAAGTAAGAGAGAAAGAGAGAAAAAAGAACTGTTTACTTTATTTAAGATGGTAAAATTTTTTTTTTATTGTTATTTTTATTTATTGTAAATATTGATCATCGAGATGCGATATATGTTAAAGAAATTGTTTTCACGAGAAATCCCAATCGGATTTGCTGAAAGCCGTTGCATATGACGCAAACTAGCGAATAATGTTACACGTGGAATAAGGGAAAATATTTTCTTCCAATATATGCGATACGTGCCATGCATACAATGTGTGAACAAATAGCCTCTGTGCAAACAGATGTAAGTTTAAAATTCGGGGAAATATTAAAGGTAGTAAAAAAATAGGAAAACCATAATAGCACGGTTATAAAACTAGCAAACTGCACATTTTTAAAACGCGTTTCCAAAAAAATGATCTATTATTCTATCCATTATAATTAATTTTGTTAGTTTCTTGCATAATGACATCATTTATAAACATTCTCCGAAAAGAGAGATGACGTTTTCAGGCCACTGAAAATTTGAAATATATCCTCGTTTACTGATCGATGGCCGGGTTTCAAGGAGTTTCACTAAAGGTCAAGAACGAAAAATAGAAATATTCTATAAATCAATGAATAATGTACACACGATCTTTTCTCAGTTGTTACGGACTACACAATGTAAAATAAATATTTTTAAAAAAGAAAAGCCACTAAGATTAAAGTATATAGATTTTACAATATATTTTCGTACTTTCAAGATTATATTTCTAATTGATATTTTATCTTAATTTTTTTTGAAAAATAACTCTAAATTTTAAATTTTACGCGATTTTATCCTGCGTACTTTTTCTTTCTTATCTTTTTATTGATTATGTTATGCAAATACCTTTTTTCATGATGCCCTGTTTTTAAAGGCAAATGGCATACTCCATATCCTCTTATGATATCATGACCGAAAAAATCCAATCCGTAAATTGATATGACAAGCTGCGGCCCTATGACAATTTATGTTTCTCTATTCATAGACTGTAAATGTAAATTCGGTGAAAGTGCCAAAGGAACCTTTTACATATTTTACATTTTCCTTACATACGCAAGCACATATACTTACATCCATGTGGATTTGTGCTTTTGAATGTAACATCCAGGGGAAAATTCCAAACGGCAAGATTTCTTGGGTTGTTGCTGCATTTGCACATTTGTGTCAGACCCTCTTCGATTCCCTGCGAAAAGTTTCGTGCGAAATTTTATTCAAATTTATTGACCTGTTTAAAAGTTATTCACCCTTAAATTTCCAACCAAATATAAATCGTTTGTGATATAATTCACTTCGGTATTTGCACTTTACATCAACTTGACAGTTTTCTATTGTTTGGTTTCTACAGTTAATTAAAAAAATTTTAATTATAAGATTTTTTTTATTAAAATTATTAAAAATTATATGAATTTGCAACATTGTAATTTTCTGCATAATCTAAATTTATTTAATATTTTTAGTATTAAAATGCCTTGAAAAAACACATTGTTCTCCCAATTTTTAATTAATATTGTATAATCAATTATTTTACTTCAACAGTTTTATATGCAAAGTAACGAAAAGAATCGATTTACGAAGAATAACATATAGTTCCATTTACAAAAATAAAGAGAGGCATCTATCTTCCTTCCTGAGAGACTCAATAGCAGTGTGTGTGTATGTGTGTGTGTGTATCATATGTCACATAAAAAATTTCAGCAAACCTTGAAATATAAACACAGAATTTTGTGTGTTCTGAATAGCTTCTAAAAAACAATTTGTAAGACTTTATGTGGACCATTTTGTGAATCCGGTCGATATTTAAACTGAGAAACACTATAACTAAGCATAAAAGAAGATTGTATGAAAACTTCTTCTAAGGATGTAATCCAATATGTCTGCAAAGTGACCTAGATTACCGAGAAGATTTCTTCGTGACAATTGTGACGTAATTTTATTGCTTCTCTCGACGTTCTATTGTTATCACACGGCTTACCGCGACTACGCTCCATTCCGGTCCGAAATGAAAGCCGTACTTGCAGTACGCGTTATCAACATCGTAAAACTCTGCATGCTCGATGGAACCGGTAATAGACAAGAAAAACTGACCATTCACTGACATATTATGAAACTGAATTCTTATTCCACTTTTTCTAGCGGCAAATATCTCGATAAATACAACAGTACTTGGAACCGATTAACTCTTAACTTTCTGTTTACATGTTAAATGTACGCCGTTACTATGGAAATGACACATGTGCGTCGCAGTAATGTATGATTATGCCGAGCATGCAAGCGGAACGTTTCTTTCCAATTTTTTTGTTACCAATGTTTTGTTTTAATAATATCTAAGCAGTTACAGATAAAAAATTCTTTTAAATTTAATCGATATCTTTGGCTGTCGGTGATTTTTATTCAAATAATCGCTGTTTACAATATTAACTTAACAATTATAAATTTATCTTCTTTTATAGTAATGTTTTTAAAATATGTCTTAGATCAATTATTTATTGTCTTCATTAAATTCTACATTACATTATTTGATCTTTGATCAGTATGTGTATGTGTTTAAGGAGACGCATTAAAGCAAAGGAAATGAGCTAAGAAAATATCACTCGTTGACTCATGATTTATTTGTTCTCAATGGCGAGACAATTTTCTAAAACAGTCAACAACTAGAAAATAACGACGGCGTTTGCTAGTAGTAAATATGTACATGTAACAACGCTGTGTGAGCTGTACAGAATTTAGAAACGAACGCATCGACATGTTGGAATCAACATGATCAGTCTACGATCGTGACTACATGATATATGAAGTACCATAGAATAAGGTTACATCCATCAGAGTTTCCGTATTGAAGCATGCATCTTCTCCTAAAAGAGATCAGAGTATTGTCAAGTTAAAACCGAAACAGATAAAACAACAGAAAAAAAACAAATCTTCCAAATAACACTACATCTAAAATATAACTAAAGGACATTTAAAAGGCGCCTTTTAGGTATTTTTAGATATTTCAGATTCGTGTTATTTGACCAGGCACCGTGGAGTATCGTTCATTTATCCAAGAGAGAAGAAATATGATGACGATGTCATACACCCTGATCGGCTTCGCCCCATTCTGCGGCACATTTTCTCCATTTTTGCGAATGCGCTATGCGTTATGAATCGGCTAATCCTCTTGAGAGGCGATTGGCTTATCGTCCAGACGAAAGTTCCTTCATGCGATTCAAGGCGGAACCAGCTTTGAACCAACCGATCTGCTGTTCGTTCAATGTATGGTTTAGACTGATGGTGTCGACCTTACCGTCCTTGTGTTTGATTTGCGCTTTCACTGGCTGCAAGAATCACATAAATAAGAAACAGAACGTATAAGTTGAACATTTAAAAATTTTACAAAGTACGAAGAAACAGCAAACTTTTTTGAATTTTAGGTTTGAGAAAAAGATGTTCTTTACGAACCTTGCCAGGCGCCAGATCCTTCAGACCGAGAAGACTGATCTTATCGTTAGGTTGAATCTTATCGTAATCGGCAGGGTCTGCGAAAGTCAAAGGCAAGAGACCTTGCTTCTTCAAGTTCGTCTCGTGGATACGAGCAAAGCTCTTGACGATGATGGCGCGGCCGCCGAGATGACGCGGTTCTAACGCGGCGTGCTCCCTGGAGGAACCCTCACCGTAGTTTTCGTCTCCTACGGCGACCCACTTTACGCCCTTCTTCTTGTAATCGCGTGCGACATCGGGCACGCCACCCCATTCGTTCGTCAATTGATTCCTGATCTTGTTCATCTCACCATTTTCGGAATTGACGGCGCTGAAAAATTCGACAAACGCAATCAATATGACATTGCATTCCGTAGGAAAATTTCCAGAAGTTTAAAAATATAAAAATTTAATTTCTTTCTCCGAAATATTTGATAACAGTTTGTAATTTTTTTTTATCTTTTCGAATGACACTTGCTTACCCGAGGAACATATTGTTGGAAATGTTATCGAGATGTCCACGATACTTGAGCCATGGACCAGCCGCGGAGATGTGATCCGTGGTGCATTTGCCTTTGACTTTAATCAGAATTGTTAAATCCTCCAAGTCCTTGCCGTCCCATTTATCAAACGGTTCTAGGAGCTGCAATCTTTGGCTTTTCGCGTCCACATCGACTTTAACTTTGCCACCATCTGAGGGCGGTGCATCATAAGTATCCACGCCGGGGTCGAAACCGCGATTAGGTAATTCGTCGCCTGTACACATACATATTCAGTTATTATAGTTATTTTAGTAATATAGTCTTATATATACAGGGTGATTCAAAATAACCTGAT